CACAGTGAAACCCCGTCTCTACTAAAAATACAAAAAAAAAAAAAAAATTAGCTGGGCGTTGTGGCCAGCGCCTGTAGTCCCAGCTACTTGGGAGGCTGAGGCAAGAGAATGGCATGAACACGGGAAGCGGAGCTTGCAGTGAGCCGAGATCGCGCCACTGCAGGCCAGCCTGGGTGACAGAGGGAGACTCCGTCTCAAAAAAAAAGAAAAAAAATCTATTACTTTTATTTACAATGTTGCTACCACCTTTTCCTGCAGATTTCATTTTACCCTGTTAACTTTGAGTTGAACAATGTATCAACGAAAGAATGTTAGCCCAGCCTGGTGGCAGGTACCTGTAGTCCCATCTGCTTGGGAGGGTAAGACAGGAGGATCCTTGATCCTGGTAAGCTGAGGTTGCATGAGCCATGATCATACCAATGCACTCCAGCCTGGGCGACAGACTGAGACTTGTTCTCAGATAAATGAATAAATAAAAATATAAAAACAAAAGAATGATCCTTATTGTTGTGTGTCCTTTTATCATTGAATATTAAAAAAACTTTTTGGGCCGGGTGTGGTAGCTCATACCTATAATCTTTGGGAGGCTGAGGCGGGCAGATCACCTGAGATCAGGAGTTCGAGACCAGCCTGACCAACATGGTGAAACCCCATCTCTACTAAAAAATACAAAAGTGGCTGGGTGTGATGGCTCACGCCTGTAATCCTACCACTTTGGGAGGCCGAGGAGGGTGAATCATTTGAGGTCAGGGGTTCAAGACCAGCCTGGCCAACATGGTGAAACCACATCTCTACTAAAAAGTCAAAAAAAGTTAGCGGGGCGTGGTGGTGGGCACCTGTAAACCCTGTAAGCCTGGGTGACTGAGCGAGACTCCGTCTCAAAAGAATAAAGTAAAATAAATTAGCCAGGTGTGATGGCACATGCCTGTAATCCCAGCTACTTGGGAGGCAGAATTGCTTAAACTTGGGAGGCAGAGGTTGCAGTGAGCTGAGATCACGCCATTGCACTCCAGCCTGGGCAACAAGAGCAAAACTCCGTCTCAAAACAAACAAACAAACAAAAAACTTTATGGCAATGGCTATTTCTAGTTCATTTATACCTCATTAACTGATTTAAACTTCAGGTCTGTCATTTATTTTAGGTAGTTATTATCACCATAGGAATAAGTACTGTTAACTTTACTCCTGTAAACTTGCTATTTATTTGAGACGGAGTCTCGCTCTGTCACCCAGGCTGGAGGGCAGTGGTGCGATCTCGGCTCACTGCAAGCTCTGCCTGCCGGGTTCATGCCATTCTCCTGCCTCAGCCTCCCCAGTAGCTGGGACTACAGGCGCCCACCACCACGCCCGGCTAATTTTTTATATTTTTAGTAGAGATGGGGTTTCACCGTGTTAGCTAGGATGGTCTCGATCTCCTGACCTCGTGATCTGCCCGCCTCCGCCTCCCAAATTGCTGGGATTACAGGCATGAGCCACCGCGCCTGACCAAACTTGCTATTAAAAAAAAAAAAAAATTATTGAGTGCAGTGGCATCTTCATGGCTCACTTCAGCCTTGACTTCCTGGGCTCCAGCAATTCTCCCACCTCAGTCGCCTGAGTAGCTGGGACCACAGACAAGTGCCATCATGCCTGGCTAATTTTTCTATTTTTGTAGAGATGGGGTTTCGCCATGTTGCCCAGGCTGGTCTCAAACTCCTGAGCTCAAGCAATCCATCTGCCTCAGCTCCCAGAGTGCTGAGATTACACACATGAACCACAGCACCCCGCCTCTCTTTCTCATTTTAACAGCCCTGAGTACTAGACCAGGTTAATTGGCAGGATGTAGGGAGTGCTTTTATTTATTTATTTAGAGATGGAGTTTCGCTCTTGTTGCCCAGGCTGGAGTGCAATGGCACAATCTCAGCTCACTGCAACCTCCTTCTCCCAGGTTCAAGTGATTCTCCTGCCTTAGCCTCCTGAGAAGCTGGGATTACAGGCGTATGCCACCACGCCTGGCTAATTTTTGTATTTTTAGTAGATATGGTGTTCACCGTATCAGCCAGGCTGGTCGTGAACTTCTGGCCTCAAGTGATCTGCCCGCCTCAGCCTCCCAAAGTGCTGGAATTACAGGCATCAGCCACTGTGCCCAGCTGTTTTTGTTTTGTTTTGTTTTGTTTTTTTTAAGTTCTGGGGTACATGTGCAGGATGTGCAGTTTTGTTACCTAGGTAAACATGTGCCATGGTGGTTTGCTGCACCTATCACCCAGTCACCTAGGTATTAAGTCACACATGCATTAGCTCTTTTTCCTAACGCTCTCCCCCACTGCCCTACCCAATTAGTGTGTTCTTTATCCTTCAGAATTAGTGAAGGATTTTTACTGCTTTATAATGATTTCTTTTTTGTTGTTTTTCAGTTGGCTTTCTCCTGTTGAATGGTTTCCTTTTTGTTAATTTCCTTTTTTCTAATCTCTTTAATGTGTTCCCTTTCTGCTTCTTCTTTCCCAATACCAAAGCAGAAAGACACCAGAAACTTCCTGTCCATTTCCATGAATAGAAATGGGGCTCCTCCATTCTCAACAAACCACCCATTAAAACATTTTTTTGTTCTCTCCTCCCTACCCTCCTTCCCCTTTCTCCTGTTCTTGGACTTAGAGGGACAACAGAAATGCGGCCTAATGCAGTGGTTCATGGTTATAATCTCAGCACTTTGGGAGGCTGAGGCAGGAGGATCACTTGAGCCCAGGAGCTCAAGACCAGCCTGAGCAATACAGTAAGATCCCAATAAAAGATTATCTGGGCAGGCCAGGGGCAGTGGCTCATGCCTGTAATCCCTGCACTTTGGGAGGCCAAGGTGGGCAGATCATGAGGTTAAGAGATCGAGACCATCCTGGCCAATGTGGTGAAACACCGTCTCTACTAAAAATACAAAAATTAGCTGGGGATGGTGGTGTGCACCTGTAGTCCCAGCTACTTGGGAGGCTGAGGTAGGAGAATTGCTTGAACCTGGGAGGTGGAGGTTGCAGTGAGCCGAGATCGCACCACTGTACTCCAGCCTGGCAAGAGAGCGAGACTCCGTCTCAAAAAAAAAAAAATTAGCTGGGCATGGTGGTGAGCACCTGTCATCTCAGCTACTTGGGAGGCTGAGGCAGGAAGATTGCCTGAGCCTTAGGAGGTTGAGGCTTCAGTGAGCTATGATCATGCCACTGCACCACTCCAGCCTGGGCAACAGAGTAAGACCCTGTCTGCAGAAAAAGAAGAAAGAACCATTAGGTTGTGATTTTCATTTTGTTTTTACCAGATGATGTCTTAGGCCCTGCTTGATATTTTATGATTAGGGTTGGCTTTAGCTTGAAAGGTTACTTACTCACGCCAGACTTTTCATCTATCTAATCCCTGTGCTGGGGTCCAAGACTTACGGATGCTTTCTGACGTTTAAAAAAGTCTTTTTTTGGCCGGGTGCAGTGGCTCATGCCTGTAATCCCAGCACTTTGGGAGGCTGAGGCAGGCAGATCATGAGGTCAGGAGATCAAGACCATCTTGGCTAACATGGTGAAACCCTGTCTCTACTAAAAATACAAAACAATGAGCTGGGGGTGGTAGCGGGCGCCTGTAGTCCCAGCTACTCAGGAGGCTAAGGCAGGAGAATGGCGTGAACTTGGGAGGCAGAGTTTGCAGTGAGCTGAGATCGCGCCACTGCACTCCAGCCTGGGTGACAAAGCGAGACTCCGTCTCAAAAAAAAAGAAAGTCTTTTTTGTTTTGATTTTTTTTTTTACGAAAAATTTACGACTAGAGCACTTACTTTACTCTGTGCTACATCCAAAGACCAAAAATAGAAATATCGGCTACTCTGGGCACATTTCCTGTGGGGTAGCCCTGATACTCAAGGAGCAGTAGAAAACGAAATAGGCCCTGTCAGGAAGGTATTTGCATTCTAATAGAGGAGATAAAACCTGCTAGGATATCCCTAATATACAGTAATTGATCAAAGTCGTAGTAATTCATTCTTTGAAATGTCTCTTTGCTCTGTCTCTTTCTTTCTATTTCCACTTCAGCCCAGTGGGTATTTTAATTACACAGTATGCCACAATGCGCCAGGCTGTTCCCAACTACAGTATCAGACACCAGCAAAAGGTGACTTGAATGTGAGGCTGCACATAAGCATACTGTGGTCTTACAACTCTAACGTATCCTGCAGCATGACTAATTCCTACCCACAGATGCTTTTCTTTTCTTATTTATTTATTTATTTATTTATTTATTTATTTATTTATTTTTGAGACGGAGTCTTGCTCTGTTGCCCAGGCTGGAGTGCAGTGGCGTGATCTCGGCTCACTGTGAGCTCTGCCTCCCGGGTTCACGCCATTTTCCTGCCTCAGTCTCCCGAGTAGCTGGGACTACAGGAGCCCGCCACCACCCCGGCTAATTTTTGTATTTTTAGTAGAGACAGGGTTTCATCATGTCGGCCAGGATGATCTGGATCTCTTGAACTCGTGACCTGCCTGCCTCAGCCTCCCAAAGTGCTGGGATTACAGGTGCGAGCCACCACACCGGGCTTTACAGATGCTTTTCATGGCAGTCCTCCCTTCCCAGTGTTCTCCGAAGTATGACTGTATTTTTTCAACATCTCTTTAAATTTCCTCGTTTGAAATATGATTTGAAATGGAGCAATTCCCACACACACAAAAGAAATATGAGAGAATGACAAGTCTAATGATATTCTACAAAGAGAGAGAGTTTATAATCAGGGCATTAAGCAAACTCACAAATTACAATTCTCTCACAGAATTGTAAGTAGAAGGTACCGATGTGGAGCATTTTTTTCCACTGATGTATTTATGGGAAATTTTGTTTATTCTCATCAGACATTTAGTAAACGGAACAACTCAATGAATTGGTCCTAATGAATATACCTTGAGAATGGCTGTTTTATCCCCAGCTTCGTTAGGGGGGCTCTGTTGATTCCAAATCTTTTTAAGTGGTTTTCCTGACACTTTCCCCCTCCCCCATATTCTCCATTTAGTTGAGCAACTTGCATCTTAAGGAAGAGAAAATCAAACCAGATGCCAATGGTAAGTAACTAATAGCTAGTTTGAAAACAAATGTGATTTCCTTCAGTATTTTTGTTTTGGTTTCCAGACAACTGTCTGGAAAAAAAAAAAATTGTATTTGTACCAGGCAGGGCGTTGGACGATACTGGTATCATCTGATTTTTAAATCAACAAACTGGTTTGTATGACCGAAGTGTTTTTATTTATTTATTTTTATTTGTTTACTTTCTAAGAGACAGGTTCTTGCTCTGTTGCCCAGGCTGGAGTGCAGTGGTTCAATCATGCTTCACTGGAGCCTCAACCTCCCAGACTCAAGTGATCCTCCGCCTCAGCCTCCTGAGTAACTGGGACTACAGGCACAACGCACTACGCCCAACTAATTTTTTATTTTTATTTTTTATAGAGATGAGGTCTCCGGCTGGGCACGGTAGCTCAAGCCTGTAATCCTAGCACTTTGGGAGGCCGAGATGGGCGGATCACAAGGTCAGGAGATCGACACCATCCTGGCTAACACGGCGCGTGAAACCTGCGGTCTCTACTAAAAAAAAAAAAAGAAATACATAAAGAACGTGCACGTGAGGTGGAGGCAGCCTATGTTAGTCCCAGCTTATCAGGTGGGAAGCTGAGCAGGAGAATTGGCGGGTTGGAAAGGGGCCGGGGAAGGGGGGCGCGCGTGCAGTGAGCTGATGATCCGCCAGCTGGGCACGGCGAAGCGCGAGCTGGGCGACAGAGCGGAAGAGCTGCCGTCTCAATAAAAAAAAAGAAAAGAAAGAGCTATGGAGTCGTCATGTGTTTGCCAGGTTGTGGTTTCTAACTCCGTGGACTTCAAGCTGGAGTCCCTGTCTCAGGGCCTCCAAGAGTGCTGAGATTGACAAGAGTGGTACCGCACCCTGGCGTTCAAGTGATTTTTAATACAAGAATGAGGATCTGCACACTGATAGCAGGGATTGTGGGAGTGAAAAAGATTAGGGCGGGAGTCTAGAGTGGGATAATTACTAGACCATGAGGGGACGATATAGCTGACAAAGACGTAATTTTGTAATGGTCTCAATTTGGGAGAGAGATAGACAAAGTGCGAGGAATCTGACGGTTTACCTAATGCCTAATTAGTTCTGAATATCATATTTTATCCAATTTAAGAGTTTCCCATTCGTGTGAGTACTTAATATTTACTGAAGTAATGTGAACATTTGCCTTTCTCAAAGTGTCATCTACAGATCTTTTTTGTATGATTTTCTTAACACGTATCATTTTGACTGATAAATTTATATAATCAACAAGTTTATAGGCCGGGGTGTGGTGGTCACACCTATAATCCCATCACTTGAAGCGGTGGGTGGGTCAAGATAACCTGAGGGTCAGGAGGTTCGGAAACCAGCCTGACCAACATGGTGAAACGCCACTGCTACTACAACTTACACAAATTACCAGTGTGGTGGGTGCACAGCCTATAATCCGCAGCGTACCTCCGGATGCTGAGGACAAACGATTCTCTAGGAGACCTGGAGATGGCCAGAGGTTGCAGTGCGCCGAGACTCACCGACCATTGCACCTCAGCGCTGGGCAAGAGTGCAGACTCCGTCTCAAAAAGAAGAAAAAAAAATTATTTGCATGAATTTTGTTGGTTTACTGCTCATGTTGTTATATACATGAATTGCATGTTAAGTGGCATTATTGCGTTCACAGAGTGTAATAAATCCGAGTTTGCATAGAATTCCTCTGTTGAGCATGTGCAAGGTGGTTTCTGATCCTAAGCTCTAATCTTTCTATAATATTTCAGAAGTATTGTTCAATGCTGGGGAAAATAATAGTTTTTGAG